CAGCCCGGGCACTGTTTCAGGCTAAAATTATCCATGCATCCCTTGTAATTTCCCTCAGTGCAGACACTTCCCAAGGATCACTTTTAGGAGGACCAGGGGATTTCCTGTCTTGAAATATGCCTTATACTAAGTAACAATGGAGTTGTTTGATTTTCCTTCCAAGTCATCCTGGCAGAGCTGGTGCTGCAACTCTGTCAAGATTTGGTTAGTAATGGAGGTGGACTCCAGCTTGGTGGTTTGTCCTGCAGGAACTCACTTGATCAGTTCTCAAGAAGGTGATGTGAAAGTTTGAGTTCAGGATGTATAAATCAGATCTCTCTCTTTCTCCTTGCTCTTGTCACTGCTACTAAGCTTGCTAACAGACTATACCACTTAATTGAGCTTGATAATTTATTGTGATTTGGTTTTCAAAACAATTTTGTCTCCAGATTCCCATAAACATACAAGTAGAAAGTACTTACACTATTTGTATTAACACATAAAAATAAAAATGTAGGTGTAAACAAATAACATGCCCCTATTTTGAGATTTTTGGAATGTTTCTGATAAACTTTAAAGGTAAGAATTGTATTTTAAGTCATCTATGCAGTAAATCCTAGGAACAGATGCAGCTATGATGGAATTTATATAGAAAAATTCTTTACCATGGGATAAAAGGGAGAAGAGTCTAATGATTATATGCTCACATACTCTCTTCATCATCAGTGGTGAAGCTTAGTGTGCATTAAAAAGGGGTTTTGGTGTTCATAAGTTTCTCCTAATCACAGCTGACTTGAAAAAAATCACATGCCTAGTAAAATGCCTTGAAAATATAGATTTGCTAAGGAAAAAAACTCATTTCTGTTCTTCCTTCTATCCTTTTTACATAAGTTCTACAAATGCATCTACAAAATATCAAGATCATTAAAATTTTCAATTCACTAGTGATCACAGAGTACAACTTGTCTCAGAAAAAAATTTATGTGGTCAAATATGAGTTCAAAAGAAAAATTCTGCAACTGTATTTAACCCAAAATCCATTTCTACAAATAAATTACTGTTAAGTTTGGTAATATGTTACAAAACACCCCTCCAAACAAACAAACAAACAAAACCCTCAAATAAAAGATTCAATTGGATGGAGTCCCCACAATAGCAGCAATAATGAGTTAAGAAGCATAATTTGAATCTGTGTTCTAAGCAGTGAGTATGACTGCAGTGGAGAAGAGGAAAGGGGGAAAATGAAGTAGAAAATCTGTGGTGACAGGATCCATCTCTCAGCTCTCTTGTCCTCAACAGAGTTTTGCAGTCCCTTTCACATTCCCTATTTTTTTTTAGGCTGGGAAAATGCTGCCATATTATTCCTTGTGCTGATCCACCAGCTACCTTGCCCATAGCCCTTTAAAAGAACAGAAGGGATGGCTGCAGGTCCTTCCTTGCCTTATCCAGCTACAGATCTTGATAAAGCTTTCTGGAACTTCATATCTTTTGGATTTCAGTCTCTCTAGCAAACTTGGTTACAGTTGCCCAATGGATTTAAGAGTTACTGGAAGCTGGAGGTTGGCATAAAGAGAGCAATGTAATTGCATACTTTTTATCCCAACAAAAAACCATGCTAAATATAAGCAAGGTACATATAAGTAGTGAGGGATTATGCCCTGAATCACGCTCAGCTGTAACAGAATTGTCAGTTATCTGCCACCTGCACCTTCTTTGGAAGTTTGCTAACCAGTCCATTTTCAATCTGCCTACAAGTGAAAGATAAACTTTTGCCACTTACTAGGAATGGCAAGAAAATACCACCTTTTTTTCCAGCTGAATCAGTTTATCTAGACTGTGAAATCTTAAAACACCAAGAGCATACTGTCAGCAAAGACAGAGAAAAAAAAATCTGCTTACTTCCTGATAGGATAATGAGAATGCAGCAGCGGAGGTGTGTATTTCAAACTCACGGCAAGCTGTGCTTTATCCAGAATGGTACCACAGCATTTGACACATGTGCTGTAACCACATGGAAACCACGGCAATGGAGGAAAATGGTAGGAGGGAGATTGTACAGTATGGCAGGGAAAAATCCTCGGCAAAACCAGGAAAATAAATTTGTATTATGTAAAGGAGATATGACACAGTTGTGCTGTTCAAAGGTTATTCCTTATATAAAAAGCAACACTGGTAATAATGAAAATACTGTCTTAGAAGAGTAGGCGCATGAGCAATGGTAGGTAGGTAGGTGGGAGGAACAGCGTGGGTTGTGAGACCAATATTAGACTTAAAGGAGTCAGAGAGGAAAAGTCCCAAAAGATGAAAAAATCACTTCAGAAAGAACAGGGAAAGCAAAAGGGAACATGTTTTTAAGTTGTTTGCTCTGCCAGAGATGAAAGTGCAGCCAACTAGAGACTGAATACAGCAAACTGAGAAAGGGAGTAGCAGAAAGAAATGCATCAGGAAGATCCCTGACAATTACTGCTGTAGAAACACTGATTTCACAGCGTGCTGTGTTCTTCATGGACAGAAAAAACCCATAATTAAAGGAGTGAAATACCACTCAGCTTTAGGGTGTTAATAATACCCTTCGAGGTCAACTAGAAGGTCCACTAGTGACAGTAAAAGGCTGCCTGCTGCCTAGAGCAGGCTTTGGCTCATTTCCGCAAAGCTCTTATTCAGGTGCAAATTGAACTCAAGTCAACAGCAAGGCAAGGAAATAACTTGTTATCACACATCACACAATTGCTTGATGACCTATATTCAGTGAGTTAGGGGCCCTAGTTTGGTCTCTGTCTAACACACCTGCAAAACTCTGACACAACTCTCGGGGTAATCAGGGTAGCCATGGGATGAAAAACTAATGTCATTGTGAAGGTCAAGTCACACTATTAAGAAAGTATGAAGACATCTGCAAACAAAGACCTAGCTTAACAGAAGACTTCAATTCCCAGAGCAAGCACTCAGCTGTTTCTCATAAAACCCCCAGAAATTATCATGTTCAGCAGAAAGTAATGAAAGCACTGCATAATTATGTATTATACAAATTGTCTCTGAAAGTGAAAGGTTCCTCAGGAAGATATATTTCTTTAAAATATCAGCATAGATTAAAAGAAATAATTCTATTTCACCCCAATTCATGCTGAAAAGCCATTGAAAAAGAAAAGTTATTTCATGCTTTCTCCTCTTTTTTGTTTTACTGCCATTTACCATTTTCCCTTCCTTCCTCTACCCCATGATTTACATCATATTCCTGCACAGCTCCTAAACTTATGTGAATTTTACAGTGTGCAGCTTAAAATTTGGGGCATTCCTAAAAGCTTTCCCAAATAGGAAGCAATTAAAAAACATGGGAAATTAAGTATTTATACAAGGATTTTGCTGAATTACAATGACTTGAAAGCTAAAATCTTTGCTGCCTGGCACGAACAGTGACATGCAGGACTTTCGATTTTTCCTAAATCTATCTTTTTTTTTGCAAATCTTGTATCTACAGAGAACAGAAATGACCAAGAGCAAATACACTTAATGTGATGCATTGAGCTTCACATATACTATGGAACTCTGGAAAGCATGCTTCTAAAAACTCAAAAAGAATAAGCTCTGTGCCTGAAAGTGTGTCCATGCATGAAGCCTGGCTGGCTGGAGTTTGTGGTGGTAAATAACATTCATGTTCACCTTGCAGAGGTTGCAGTAACTGATTCCACAGGAGGAGTTTTGGCTCAGGAAGGGATGTGGTAAAGTCCTCTGGATGATGAAAGGAATCACTGGATCCCTTGAGCAAAACCAGCTAGATTATGAAAATCCCTGCAGAAAATGAGATTGCTTTCTCCTTTGGTCACTAATAGAAAGACAGAGAAGAAGCAATCCCAGGCTTCCCTTGAGACAAATTCAGGCAGGCTGCTATGGGGAGCTGCAGTAAGCTTGCTTTTTTCTGCTGGCCTATTCATCACTGATGTCAAAGCATGACATTCTTAACAAGGATCAAACAGTTTTTGCTAAAATCTGCTTCTCAGATAAGGTCTCTGGAAAAAAATGGGGTAGAGGAGGACAAGGAAGGAGAAGAAATTAATCAGGGAAATGCAGAAGGAATCTTTTGTCACTGATCATGGATACTAGAAGAGATAGAGATCCTTTTATTTTTCCTCCCCATTTTAAACCCACAGCCTTAGGCAAGTTATACTAAGATTGGGTTATTTTTGGTCCAGTGAACTATGATTCACTATTATAGCTAAGAATTTTAAAAAAGACAGAAACAATTGTTGATTTTAAATCCACACTGTTTTCTTTTATGGATATAATTAATTTTCTGGCTTTAAGGGACCTTTCTATTTTAGAATCAATTAAAATAAAATAGTAATACAAAATTGTCCATTTGTGCAATTTTCCTGACAATTTGGGTGACTTTTTTAAAAGGACCAAATAAAGGAAAACCAAATACTGACATTTAAAAAACTCCAGAAACTCATGATTCTTTTTGGCTAAAGTTTTCACAAACAATTTTAAAAATTCAATTTTGGTTCTCTACAAAATACAGTGCAATTCTGAGTGGAAAACATGGGTTTGTCTACTTTCAGATAGTCTTTGCTCTTTTTAATTAAATGTCAGGTTCTCTCCTGAGTTGCAAAGACTATCTTAGGTCTAATTTCAAATGTTGAGTATATATAAATACACAGTTACACAAAGCTTTTGCAGGCCCAAGCTGTATTTTAACAAAGCATTCAAAGAGTGCACCTACTGTACATACCTGGATGCTCACTTTACACTAACAGGTTAAAATACTTTGCAAATTCATAGTGCAGGTTCCTTTTCAGAATAACATTGAAATACACTCCCAGATTTACTCTTGTTAAGGAAAAAAAACATGCTAAAATAAGCATGATGGAACGCACTGGTTCAAATATGTTCCTGAACTGGTAGTTAGAAATAAGAGAAGAAACAAACATAGGAAACACAGAAAATGTAAAGAGAAGAAGCAAACATAGAAAATGTATGTCTTAATGAAGAGCTGTAGGTGATAGAGCAGAACCTGGACTTACTTGAGGGTGGTGAGCTCGGTAAGGGATGGCTGGGTGGCCTTGAGATAACTCTCTCTCCGTGCAGCAATCTTTGGAGATGGCTTGGGGCTTGTGTCCGAGTCTCCGCTGTCATCATCGCCCATGGCTTTGATGTAACTGCCGCTGCGCATCCGGCGGCAGGGAATCTCGTCATCTTTTCCTCGTGGAGTGTAGCCACTCCATTCATCTTGAGGAACCTGAAATGAGGAACACAATTCTCTTGTTAGCACACTCCTCCCTGATGTCATTGGTAAGCCACAACAGAGCCGTAACAAAAACTCTGATGGCCAAAGGCCTTTTCTTGTCTCATTTGACCATGGGTTGCTGTTGCAGTGGAGGCCCACTTCTCACCCTGCAGAGGCACAAGCACCTCCAGAGTTCTCTGCTATTTTCCATTCCTCATCTGGGAAGCTTCTAGCAAACATGCTGACATAGAAGGCTTGGTTAGGTTTAATACTGGACTGGTAAAATCTTGAGTGTTTTCAGCTATTTTCATTCAAAGTCTTTATAAACCAGATCAAAGTATTTTTAGTTCAGCTCAACATATTGAATGTCTTTGGGGAGGCACAAAAGCTGAAATACAAATCCATATATGACAATCTTTTCTGACAGAATGTACACAGGAACACTCATCAGGATGATTTTGGCTCAAGATATATTTCAAATTAGTGGAGCTATGCACTAATTATCACAAAAGTAGGTTTGCAAGTGTGAAATTTTACTAGTATTGCTTCTATAACTTAATTAGTGCAACCACACACCCGCAGCTTGCAGTGAGCCTCCTTTTGAATTCTGAGTCCTACAACCCTTTATTCCTTTCTTTTTCTTTTTCTTAATGATGTGCATTATTTCTCTTGATCTGAAGTCAGTGCTGTCCCTTCTTTGTATTGGAAATCTGGAGCAGTGGGAATGTGCATTCATGAGATTTTAAGACATAACAAAGGACAGTCCAAGAGCAGAGTGCTCTTGCCCTCCCATTGTCTCCTTTCCTTTGCTCCTGGGGCTTCTGACCACATGAACCAGCATCCTCCTCTTTCCTGTAACTGCAGAAACAACATGCAGCGGAGCAGGGTCTTTGCAGCTGTTTTGCAGAAACATCATTTTTATCTAAAGGTGAATCTTCAAAAGGGTTTTTTAGTTAAACAAATATTGTGTTAAATACAAGCTATTGTGAATTTTTAGTTTTCTGCTTCTCTGATCCTTCTCAGTGAATCAACTCTATAAAACAGCCATAGCTATAATGCTCAGAAAACCTTACAAGCCACATTAAATAAGGAGGCATGAATCCGGGTTACTAAATTTGTCTTGCAACTTACAAATACTCTCACCTGCCAGAATAATCTTTTCTATGAGAAGTTTGTTTTTCATCAGCATTTACCTTCACCTGAGAATCTTGTGAATCCCACTGCAGATTTCAGCTAGGGCATGCACATTTTGTTTAGACAACCAAAACTAAAACATTGGAATGCTTGATAATGGCTTTGCTGTTGATTCCCACTACAAGCATGAGTGTAAGTCCAGAGGCTGTAAGGCCTTTCAAATGTTACTGTTAATGCAAATAAATTTTTATGGCCTTTTTATGGCCTTTTATCAATCTATAATGCTATAAACTACAACCCTAAAGCCACTGTGCTATATAAAGGAACAAAGTTATTTAATGGTCCTAAGCACATATAGGCTTATTACTAGTTATAATTAATGATACTATTTTATTAATTAAACTATTCACAGCCTATGTCTTTGATTTGTTTCCTGATGATTTCAAAACCCAAGACCATGCCAACCTTCTTCCTTCACTGATTTTTCTTTTCCTGCTTCTGACATAATGATTTAGGGCCTTCCTTAAGCTGCCAGGCTCAAACAGTCCTTCTTTCCTCTTGTGTTCTGCTATCCCCATGCTCTCTTGGTCAAGTCCAGCCATGAAACTCACTTAGATGTTCAGTATTTTCCTTAAAAGACTGAAGATTTAACCCTGCAGATCTACTCTAGATTGCACCATTATCAATATTCTTTCTTAAGACCCACTCTTCCTTTTCAAGATTTAGTTGTTCCAAAATGCTCCATGTTTTATTTAACTAATTCTATCCTTGTGCCTTTTAAAAGTAAATTTCCATGTTGTCTTTAAATACCCTTCAGTTAATGGCTCTACAATTCTTATCTTCCATCAGCATGCAAAGTTTGCTGTTGTGGGTTTGGCAGTTTTTTGCTCTGTGTGTGTGTGGTTTTTGGCTTATTTTAAAATTTATTTTCCTGGGCTACAAGAATCTAAGTTCCTTTAGGCAGGAATATAGTTCTAAGTCCAGTTTTCTTACTGAATGATGATATGCAGAATTGTGCATCTATAGGATATTACAGAATAAATACTCATAACAACACTTGAAATATTATTCTGGGAAAGGGTAAAGCTTTAACTAAGACTAAGAGTACCAAGTACTAATGAAATCTACTGAAAGAACAGGATTGAATGAACAGCTCTAATATTTTCCCACATTAAAAAAAAATAAAAAGAAGAAGAAATATTTCCATTCTGTAGCTTCTAAGTTTATGCCTAGACAACATGTCTGGACAGCTGATGCATTCAAAATGAAGGTAACACTCAGTAGCAATTTTGATTTTTGATATAGAAGAGCACAGAGTATTTACATTCCTCCCTTAGCCACTTATGACAGACAGAGTATAACATTTTTTTCAGGTCTTACTCTTGCATTAGTTCCAGGCCTAGAACAGTTCCTAGTTCCATCATTGCACAGTGAGTATACAATCTATATTCATACCACTTCTCCCCCACATTTTGGAACCTACAGCTTCTGCTTGCCAGTGTAAAACCTTGACTTTTCAAATCACTCATGCAAAAAAGAATTTAGGACAGGTTTAGTAAAATCAAGCTCTGATGACATTTTTTGATGCCATGCTCAGACTTCAGTCAGCAGTTCAAAACCTCTATTGGTGTATTCCCAATCAGTTTTTAGGTAGCTACTAGATATCAAAGTCAGAGTATGTAGAGAATCTGTGAGGTCTCAGAGGATATGAACTTTGACTTGTTAATTATTTTATTCATTTTGCTTTAATTGAAGATCTTTGCTTTTTCTCATTGAGATAAGTCTGTAAATTATTCTTTAATGCACTAAACAAACTATGTTAGAGTATTGTTAAGGTTGGTGCCTTCAATGGAGAAAAACTAAGGGGAGATAAAGTTGCAATATTCATACAGCACCCATAATTCAGGTAAACTGAACACTTGTAGTTTTACTAAAATAATAGATCCACTATTAAATTTAATGCCATAGTTAATAGGTGCAACACAAGTGAGGAGATATAGGTACTGTGGAAACTCTTACTTTGGAATTATTGAGTTCTGTTATCAATAACCCCACATATAAGTACAAGACCTTTTATCCCAAAGCTTCTCAAAATTATTCAGATGCAATAGGCCAAGTTTTGAATGCTGGTTGCAATGGATTTACCCCAAAACTTTCTATTTACACATGCAAACACTGTGTACCATGATGAGGTCTGAGTGCATTGAACTAGTCCCTCAATTTGTATGATGTGATTGGAAGTTCTCAGTTTGAGTTCTGCTCCTGTCAGTGAGGGGAGCAATCACTGAAAAACAACAGCTATCTTTTTAGGAGCTTTTCCACTTTTTAAAAAACACTAGCTGCAGAGAAAGAAAGCTGAGCTGATGACACAGAGACCAGGACAAAGCAGTCTCAGGGAGTGCCAGAAACCCACTGGCTGGTTTGGTTATTGGAAGTCACCTGCACATGCAAAACCAAAGGAAATAACACAAAAGTGACCCAACTTCCATTTCCATATTATGGGTTCAAGGGTAAACCCTATATGTACCGAAGAGAAAAGGATGGCTGTGGTTAAAAAGCCATCCAGATTCAGAGAACAGACTAAAATACCAACCCAGATATGCTTTTAATTTCACAGTACTCACTGAGGAATCCAGAGTGTTTGTACAAACTATCTTGCCTGCCCAGACAAAGCTGCAATACAAGAATGTAATGGAAATTTTATTAAAAAGCTATTTTAGTTGAAGTTTGACCATGGGGTATTTACGTCTAGTTTGTTTTTTTCTAAATATTGTTTTTACTCTTTTTATTGCTTGTTTGTTTAGAGTAAAATTTCAGTATATAATTGATTTTGTAGATGAAAATTTGGGTCCAGCTCCCCTTTATATTCTTTTTTCTTATTTCTTACATTACATTCACAAGAGCAAGAAACCCTGATTTTGACATTTGGTTTAGGCATCATATAACTGATAAAGAGCATTTGTAGGGTAAAGAAACATTTTAGAAGTTCTGTCTCAGGTATTAACAATTGCAATACTTTTTATGAAAGGGTGTCTGTCTGTGTCTTACTTGAGTAGGACAAACAACCCTTAAAGCTCAGCATTTCCTTTCATTTCAGACTGATAAAACAATGTCAGCATTTTAATACTGCTGTGCCTGTAGTCAAATACCTCAAGAAATACCTACTAAAAGAAGTGACCTGATTTTCAGAGTGCTTTTTTGGTCCCTAAAAAGTATTGGCTGCAACAGACGTGGCTGTAACAGCTCATGCAGACAGTGCAGCTCACTGTCGCAACAAAGTGTTTCATATTACGAGAAAAAAAGTACAACATAAAGCCCTCTCCAAAATGCAAACTGCAAGAATAAAATCAATCAGATTATTTCATACATTCTGTTTCTACACATATGGTACTACACATCCTGCACTGTGATTTTTTCTCTTGATCTGGAAAAAATGCTGGGAGAAATGCCTACGTGAACCTCCAGCTCTCTTATTTTTTTCAAGTCAGGGGGTCTGCACAAATGTTCCCACAGGCTCTGACTTTATTTGAATGACCAATATTATGCCTTGCAAGGTCACACAAGTGCAAATGCACTGTATCTTCTGCCTTAGAGGATTAATGGGATTAAGATTGACATACTTGAGATAAAGCTGTTTCATGCTTTTAAGAAAATCATATTATCCAATTACCTTGGCAATACAATTTTTCCAGTATCAGAATATCAAGAGAGAACATCATTTGCATGGTTGTTTTAACTCTTATGAAAAAGGGGGACGACCTAAATTCAGATCTAACAATGAACATTGTTTTTATTAAAACTGAACTATTATTATTCACACTATCAAAGTAATAATGATCCTGGAAACATTTCATTCTCTAAATTTTTAAGCTCATGTA